CCCCAAAACCCCAAAACCCCAAAACCCCAAAACCCCAGGTTTCCTTGCAATACTTGAATTATAAAATTAAGAATTTGCTTAAATTTTCTTGAAAAAGATGAGTATATCCGAGGAAGGAAAACTAGATAACGACAAGAAGGCTAAAATTGAGTTTAGAAATATCGGCCAGAAAATGCAATCCAATGATCATGACCTGCCTTTATAGATGAAATTGATGAAGCCAACCAGAATGACGGCAGGGAGCCGACCAGTGCTATTCCTTCTCTGCCAAGTTTTCCTAATAAAAATTCCAGCCTGAGGAATCATAACCTAATAAAGGTGAGTTCTGTAAATGATTCTGATGTTAATGACCTGTGCGACCTTGAGGAGGAAACCAGCGAGCAGGAAGAAGCAAAGGGGGGGAATATGCATTTTAAAAATAATTTTAAGCTCCCTTCTTCAATTCATTACAAATAAAGATGGAACTGAGAGCAGTGAACAAGATGAAAGAGATAAAGACGTCAGAGGGGGCCTCAGCCCAGAGGCCAAAAGATATCATCCAGGTTTTGAAGTCGGTGTTGTACAAAGAAAATCTACCAAACCTATTAAATAAAGAGGATTTTGTATTAGATGATGGTAGCAGAGAGAATGAGAGTAGTTTAAAGTCTACAGATAAATCAAGGGAAAATGTAGCTCAGAGCTGATTCGAAGAAATGAAAATTACTCCAAAACCTAATTATGAACCTTTCCTTTCTGATAGTTGCTCAAAAGATTCAAAATTGTATGATATTGGGGAAGAAGCAAAAGAAAATTGAATAAAAATGTTGAATTATCACAGGTATTCTTAATTCTGATTTTGTGAAATTCTACTGTTAGGATGATAAATTTATACCCAGTATTTAGCCATTTTATAAAGTATCTAAATGTTTACAATGTATAAAAATTTGATTGTGAAAGTAAATATTGGAAATAGACCAAGTCCTCCAAAACTAAATCTTAAACTTGAAAAAGCCCTTCCCTCGTTTATCGAACTCGACAGCCCCATCCCAGAAGAACTCCAAGTCGGCTACGAAATCGCCAAATACGACATCATCGGAATGATTCCTGAGCCAAAAGTCGCTAAGCCTCAAGACTACAAAGAAACCTTCTGAAAGTTCCAAGCGCTCGCCTGCTTCTGACACAACAGACAGGCCATTTTCAGACGGATCAACGACAGGCTCGAAGAAAAAGTGGACATTGCCTTGTTCCCGATCATTCTCGAGAAAGCGCTGGGCACGCCTCCGGACCTCGAAGAAAAGAAGCGGTATTACATCAGCATCAGCGGCAAAAAGCGGAATAAGTTCTACCACCACAAGCTGGTGGACTACTTCAGGATCCACAAGAAGAGCATCTTGCTGGGCTACGTCGAAGTCGAGACCCACACCAGCCGCTTCGTCATCGGAGACGGCTAGCTCCTTAACTTATTGGTTCTAACATATTGGTAGGAGTGGCCGAGGGCGCACAGGGCAGCAGCTTTCAATCTCAATTCTGTGGTTGAAATATGGGGTTTTGGGGTTTTGGGGTTTTGGGGTTTTGGGGTTTTGGGGTTTTGGGGTTTTGGGG